TTCAAAGGGCAAAATGCTTTATCTACGCAGTTACATTGGTTGGTTTTTAATTGATTTTTGTTGTGTAAAATTTTGGAATTATGCGAATTTATGATAGATTTTAGGCATGCAACTGTAGCTAATCTTAACAGAATTTCGGTTGAATATTTTATGTAGCTTGTGACTGGCTGGAAAATGTAAGTCAATAAGGGCTAGAAAACGGTTTCCTATTTTTGTTTTGACGTTTAAGCTGAACGGAGGGTTATACCAAATAATATTACGTTTACGTTGCTTTTTTTGTTGATTTTGACTTGAGATTATTTGTGGTTGGTAGGTAAGGTTCGATTTGTATCTCGATTTTTTTAAAGCCTCTTCATACGGTGGAATAGCCTTTTTGAAGAAATTTTCATTAATTGACATAGAAGATAATCTTTGTTCGATATTGCGAGGGATTGCTTTTATTATGCTTGGAGGGTGGTTAGAATTAGAGTGGATGTACCTTATTTGATTATCAGGTTTAAAATATGGTTGAAACGTACCGTTACTTAGATTTAACGTAACATCGAGGTAGTTAACAATTTTTAAATTAGATTGAATGGTGATTTGAAGATCATTTTTTTTTTAAATGAGTGTTATGTGCTTTTTGATTTTTTCCATTTCCTGACCGTTCAAAAAGTTAGATTAAGTTAGATATCATGCCTTCGGGCATGAAACTTTAAGTCCCGCTAATCAGTTGTTTTTATTCATCTAAATATAATTATATATAGCTCTATTATTCAGTAATATTGAGCACTGTAACACATACAAGAGACTTCGTATTATTACATCAAAATACTTAACCTCGAATATATTCTATATATCGAAATCTATACAAATATATATATATATATATATATATATATATATATATATATATATATATATATATATATATATATATATATATATATATATATATATATATATATATATATATATACATACACACATATTTATCATTATCATTGTGTATTTAGATCGCTACTATCCTAATAAATCCTTGACAAATTTGTTCAATGTAATATTTTGTTTTGAAGCCAGTATTTTAGTGTAACAAAAGATTGCCTTAACTTAAAAAGATATCTATATACTATTTGTCTTGTTGAAAAGGTTTTTGCATATTGTCAATGTGATTATAAACTTTTAAAAATTGTTTGTCAGTAAGTAACAACATAATCTAACTTTTTGAACCTGATGTGATGAATGTTTTGAACCTGATGCATACAATATACATGTTTGTGTTCCTTTTGAACCTGATGTGGTGTTAGCTTAGTAACAAACTAAAAACTAAAATCATATAACAGATCATTTACCTTTAATTCCAGCTTCCCTTCAGAATTTTTCTTTGTATATTTACAATCTTCTGAGCAATGTCGCAGAGTACTGTTTACAGAAGTAACTTCTGACCTAACTTAGATCAGGTTAGGTTCAAGATTGTCATGATCACCCAGCTACTGGTAACATAATCCAGCACTACCTATTCTATGTCCTGCTGCCTATTAGTATTTTTTGTAAGCTTTTCTTGGAAAAAACAAACTCAAACTTAGAAATTAATCTGACTTAAAACATATGTCCTGCTAGCTCAGGATGAATAAAAAGAATATTTTCCTCATTTGGTTTATCAAAAATGAGAAATAAATTGGAAGTGAAAAGACAAATATGCTGGTGCAAATACAAAGACAGTTAAAAAATAGTTGGTTTTGGGCAGATTTTGTAAATCCAACCTTGTTGAAGTTTAACTTAAATGAATTCACAGAAGTAGCATTAACAGTAGTTAGATGCTGGTGCATAACTTCTTAATGAATCAGTGTATTGAAATAACTGTAAATAATTATGAAACTTTTTGAAATAAATGTTGAATAATCTAAATACTTATAAAAAAATTTGAGGATATCTAAAATCCTGGTATTTTCGAAGTAATATAGGCCCTTGTCTACTTATGAGTTAAAATGTCATTGTTTAAAATTTTCACAATTTTTAAAGAAAGTGAAAGAGAAAGTGGTTACCCCAATATTGCCTTATTAACCGAGCCTGTCCCTAGTATGTTTCTGTATATAAAAAAGTAATTTCAATCTTTTATAAAAAGTATTATATTTAAAAACTTTTGTTTCACACAAAAAGGCAACAACAGGTTATTAAGATATTAACAACAAAATTCACAAATAACTAAAAATCACAAATCACAACAACTAATAACATTGCAAAATATGTAATATTAAATCACTCGACGAGTTATACTTATCTCAATTGTTTCTTTGTTCAAATGTTATACTTTTAAAGAAGAAAAGAATGTTTACTTTTTGTTAGCCTTTCATGATCAATTGGATGTATAATATCCTCCATGCCATCTGCAGGTTCCTCAGGACGTTTAACTTCTATCAAAGATCCCAAAAATGTTATTCCATTAACCATAGAAGAATCTGCATAAAGACCATGAAGATCATTAAACATCACATTTAAAAGATGTTCAACTGTCTCTTTCCTAAACAGTTTAGATATTTTAATAAATATTTAATTAACATATATTATTATAGAAGTTTTTATTCTTTTTAATATATATATATATATATATATATATATATATATATATATATATATATATATATATATATATATATATATATATATATATATATATATATATATATATATATATATATATATATATATATATATATATATATATAATTTTCAAATAAATAACAACTTATTGTTATTTGAAAATTATTACTAAATTAGTGTTACTTAGACCATTTGGAAATTTATATATATATATATATATATATATATATATATATATATATATATATATATATATATATATATATATATATATATATATATATATATATATATATATATAATATTATATATAATATTATATTATATACGTTATATTATATATAATATTATATTATATATAAAGAAAATCATAATTTACCAGATCTGTAAAAATAAAGGTCTTTGTAAGTCTATTCCACACAGACCTTTTCTATACTTCCTTATATAAATATCCTAGCTTTCCAGACCAGTAAAATATGAGTCTTTACCAAACTGACCATTTCTATACTTATTCTTTATTTATTTCAATATGTTTTAGTACAATATATCATTCTAAAAAATGGCTCAACGACCAAAAAAATAAACAAAAATAAACTTGTTAAGGATTTATAATTAGGTTTGTTTTTCTCCTAAACACAAATCATCGATAGCTCAGTGGTTAAATATGCTGTCATCAGTGTAATTTTGGGGGTTCAAGACCTTCCCTTAGCTTAATAAATTTTAAAATTTTTATAATCTTGCTTATATATTTATAGCAAAAAAAAAAAAAAAAAAAAAAAATATATATATATATATATATATATATATATATATATATATATATATATATATATATATATATATATATATATATATATATATATATATATATTAGGGTGATTCAGATTGTAATAGAAAAAAAAAATGTCACAAAAAACATTCTCCTCAAGGTTGCCTGTGTTCCTAGGATCATGTGTACCAAAAATTAGACTAAAAGAAGCAATTTTAGGGGTTGCCATGTTTTATAAGATGAATTAACCATTGGTAAAATTTTGTGATTTTCTCAAATTTCGCAAATTTGTTTTTTCATTGTTTATTTATTTATAATTTAGAAATTGATAATATGGCAACCACTAGATCTTCTGCTGAGGTGTGGCTTGTTGGTAAACCTACACAAACTCTGTCGACTGCCAGACTTCCTTCAAGAGAAGATGTTCTTCGGAGGTTGCTCTTCCATCATATAGAAGAGAAACAAGAAGTGAAAAAAAGTATTCGGGCAACAATTGAAGCAGTTCTTGTTATATGGGAGAGAGGAAAAATTCCAACTCAAAGAATTGACAATGCGGAAAGAAAGTTAAAAAAACTTTATGACGAATATATGCTGCTGAAAAAACACCGAGGATCAAAATTGGACAGCTGTCAAATGAAAGAAGGAATTTTCCACGCTGACCTTGAAGAACTTTTTGATATTTCAACCAAGAATGCATCAGAAGTTATGAAAAACGATGAAGATAAAGCATTTTTACGTCAGCAGCAAGAAGATCCATTAAGTTGTAGTATGGCAGGAATTGATCGGAATTTAACAGCTAGGGAGGCACGGAAACGAGTCCGAGAAACTAAAATGGAATTGAGGCGTCAAAGAAATCAAGCGGAACTGATGGAAAAAATAGAACTCATTTCTTCTTCATCAGCAGTTGACATTGTGAGTGAAAGTAGCTCTAGTTCCTCGGATGATGATGTATATCAGACTCCTTCCGCTTCCAGCACACTGAGCACAAGTGGTTCAACGAAAAAGAAGATGAAAGTTCTAACAAATAATGTTGTATCATCTCTTGATCGTGTTAATATTTCTGATCGCCGTGCACTCTTCGTGGTTGGAACAGTGTCTCAGGCTCTTGGTCACTCGGTAAAAGATTTATCATTGTCGTACAGCACAATCCACAAAAAAGGCGATCTGTTCGTGAAGCGGTGACTACAGCTGACAAGGTTGATTTCTCTCCTGATGATCCACTTCTTCTGCATTGGGATGGAAAGCTCTTACCTGATATCACTGGTGGTCAAAAAAAAGTGGATAGAATTGCCATCCTTGTGACTGGTGGTGGGGTGGAAAAATTGCTGGGCGTTCCAAAGATTGATCGAGGTACAGGTGAGCAACAGGCTGATGCTTGCATGAAGGCTCTTAAAGACTGGAAATTGAAAGAACTTGTTTGGGGACTGGTTTTTGACACTACTTCATCTAACACTGGGTTGAACATTGGTGCCTGCACAAAAATGGAGCAGAATCTTGACCGTAATCTTATATGGATAGCATGCAGGCACCATATGTTTGAAGTCATGCTTTCCACCATTTTCACGACTGCATTTGGAACCAGTGGAGGACCTGAAGTTGGAATTTTTAACCGTTTCCAGAAACAATGGCCAGCAATCAACAAGGAGGTGTTCACTATAGGGAAAAAAGAATTTTACAACTGCGATTTTTTTCTCAAACTCCGTGAAGAAATGGTAGTATATTATAGTGAAGCAATTAAAGGTCAACAACCCAGGGATGATTACTTAGAACTCTTGAATTTGTGCCTTATTTTTCTTGGAGGATCAACTACAACATCGGAGTTCAAAGTGAAGTTTCGGGCTCCAGGTGCAACACACAATGCACGTTGGATGGCAAAAGCTATATATTGTATAAAGATATATTTGTTTCAGGATCAATTTGTTATTACTGCAAAGGAAAAGAAAGGAATAACAGATATAAGTCTTTTTGTGGCATTTGTATACGGACAGTTTTGGAATGAAGCTCCATTATCTGAACGAGCACCATTCAATGATGCCAAGCTTCTTCAACGGATTCAAGAATATCCAAATCAAACAATTGCAATTAATGCAGCAAAAGCTTTTCATCGCCACCTCTGGTATTTTTCTGAACATCTAATAGGATTGGCTTTTCTTCGATTCCGTGTCGACAACAACACCAAGAGAGACATGGCAAACAACCTGAAACAACAGCCAAGGCAGAAATCTCTTAAAAGACTTGATGCTGCCACATTCGATTGTCACAGCCCATTGCCTTCCTTCGTCACATAACGCACCGCAGAACTTTTCGATCTAATTTTGAAAAATGGAAAAGAAAAAGCTGAATCATTTTTAATGAAAGAATCTTTAGAGTGGGAAATGGATTCAACATATCTTGAAATGAAGCACAAGGTTGGTCAAATGAAAGTCGTCAACGATTGCGCGGAACGAGGCATAGCACTTATAACATCCTTTAACTCAAGCGTTACGAAAGATGAAAACCAAAAGCAGTTTCTTCTTAGATTGGTTGATCTTCACCGGAAGGAATTTCCAGTTGCATCAAAGTCTACCCTGATGAAGATGACTGTTGAATGATGAAGATGATTGATTTATTATTGCCTAGTGCAATTACATAGTAGTACTATAGTATTGATTTTTTTAACATTGAACATCCACAATCCACCACATAATAATAAGAAATTGATAATAAATAATTCAGTAATATAATATAAAAAATGTAAAAATAAAAAATATTTTTTTTACTTTTTGTAACCTTATACCAAAATGTGACAAAACATGGCAACCCCTAAATATCATCCGATTTGATTCAAATTTTGGCCAATAACTACTATTGTCATATAGAACAAGGGCAAGCTTGAGGACAACTAAAGTTTTGAACCTACAAATTTTGCATCACCCTAATATATATATATATATATATATATATATATATATATATATATATATATATATATATATATATATATATATATATATATATATATATATATATATATATATAAATAAATATATATATATATATATATATATATATATAAAAAAGACTTTTAAATGTTAAAATAAAATTTTAAATTTTTTTCATATTATACATTTATTATACATGATTGTTCAAAGTGAAACAGTTTAAGCAAAAAAGACTTGTAATTATTAGAAAAGTTTTTTATATATAGCACACGATTCTGTATAAAACATTATATAAGTGGATTTTTTACATTTGAATATAATATATTGTTTATTGTTATATTATGTTATATTTGTGCTATGCAATAAAAATGTGTTTATTTAGAGAACCCACTTGAAAAGCGTTGATTAACTGCAATCGGTATAAAAGTTCATAAAATGGTTTGTTTTTCAATTACATGCATAAATTGGATAGAGTGGTTTAATGCGCTAAAGAAATAATTTTATTTAGCGCATTAAAAATAAGGTGGTTTATTGCGCTGTCGACGGTGCTGTTTTACGAGGGTTCAAATCTGCCCCTTAACACAATATACTTTTAATTTTTACAATCTGGCCGTATATATTTATAGCAAAAAAAAAATATATATATACATATATAGCAAAAAAGACTTAATTTTTAAAATAAATTTAAAGTTTTTTTCTAGCTACAAGCCTTTCTTTTTTTTTTTTTTTTTTTTTTTTTTTTGCATATGCGACACAATGATCGCAAAAAGTAACCAACGGAGTCGTCCAGTTACGTAGACCTGGGAGATGTGAAAATAAAAACAGATTGAAGATGATGTCATTTAGGTAAAATAACATAAATTAATGTAAAGATTATTTAGTAGGAGGAGTAAAAGTTAGCAACTCATGAAAAGAGGAACAAAAACTCACACTCTAGTCATCTTTTAGCAAATAATGAAACAATGATCTATGAGTAAACAAGTCAATAAAAATCCGCTGGTTTATAATGGTATTCATAACAAAAATAATCGCACCATACAAATGTCTAATAAATGTGGTACTATATATGTTCTAAACTCTAGATAAAAAATTGAGAACTGATAATCACCTGTGTAACATAAAAATATATAAATGTTGTTAATGTAACAAATTCATAATAAAAAGCTCACAAAGCGCAAAAATACATGGGTTTAAGAGGTAAAAAAATGTTGGTGCCATAATAACCAATTA